AATAGCAGTTAATTAAACAGCTGAATGAAATTGCCAGTTCATTGAGAGTTTATTGTTCATCTATATATATAAAATCCAATGTATGTTTGTTTGTATGTATGTATGTTTGTCCTTTATGGACTCCGAAACCGCTCGACATATTGTAATGAAACTTTCAGGTATTATTAAGCATTATTCAAGGATGGTTTGTGTGAAGTTTGGTGCAGATCCGTCAAAAGGGCTCCGCCCCAGTGGACCCCAGTGGAGTTTTCCATGTTAACCTTATGAGTACTCATATTTAAATGGAATTTAAGATTCTTAACAACTGGTTCAACTAAAGAATTTAATTCTATGATGTTCAATAGCATTAAAACGTTAATAGGTTTACCAACAGGGTGCAGCACTATTATTTTTTTCAATTTATGACAACAGCTAATTTTCAACCAAAAGGTGAGTTAGCGTAGCGAACGAACATCAACCAAGACGTAATTGAGCCATGCGAACGAGCTATCTTGAAAATGAACAACATTTGACATAAAACCACATTAGGACAGGACGTCTGTCGGGCCAGCTAGTTCACATATAAAATTGTAGTCTAGGAGTAAAATTGATCATACTATTACAGTATACAAGTAATGTTTTTGCAATAAATTATTTCAAAAACGGTTCCAATGACTTCTTGTAAGTTGTTGGAAATTTTTTTGTCGCTAAAAATAATTATTTAAATACTGAGCTCTGTAAATAGGAAAATTTTATTATTTTTAACATTGACCTTAGGTTTTGCCAAGTAGTCATGAATGGTTTTTTGAATTAAAAAGGTAAATATAAACAAAGGACTCGTAACATATGGTTGTAACAAACCATCTACAGTAGGGTGACACATACTATACTCCGTTCACAAAATTTTTAAAGTTTTAGGGGGAAAAATCAATCCTCTCCACTTGAACCTACCTCTGAAAATAAAAACTCAACGCCTGTGGTTTGCCAAAATGTAAATCAGCTGCGCCATATATATATTAAGTAAAATCAGTAGCCTAATGGGGAACTTCCCCTCAAACCGCCTAAATTTTGTAAACGGAATGTAACTTAGCAAATTACAAAATACAGTAGGCTACAACAGAAAAGGATAGGCCTATTCCAATGAATACCATTGAGCATTTACTATACAGTGTGATCAACTCAAGGAGGCGACCATTGGGATATCGGAAACGGTAATAATTAGAAAAAACTTAAAACAGAGACATTCCTTTACATTTTGTGGCAGTAAAGAAGAAAAAGAAGTAAAAGATAAATTTATTTTTTTGAAATTCAGTCGCCATTTCCAATATGGCAGCCAACTTGAACATTTCTTACCACCTATGTTTTGGATGGAGCATACAATTTAAAAAAGGTTTAATTCTTCAAAATTTTTCTCTAAAGCCACTCGTTTAGGAGTTATATAGCCTAAGAAAAAAATACTTTCTTGCCACAATCCTAAGATCGGGGAGTCATCAAAATTTACATAGAGGATGTTATCTCTACGACCCTCTACCAAGTTTGTGCCACTCAGTTTGTGATACACGACCGACATTAACCGACTTGCAGGTAGCCTACACAAAAAGTGCTTAAAAAAGTTACCAATGCTGCACTACAACTCATCAGCTATACCCCCACAACCGATATGCCCTCCCCAGGAGTCATACCAACTACTGCGCAAGGCGAATTCCACGCTGGCGATCGCGCTAAATGTCTAGGCCTACAGAAATTCATCCCGGGAATTTGTTACTGTTATATGTGCTGTATAGCCTAATTACCGCATACAATAGGCCTACAAAAACTTAACTTATGGTTTCTTCCATTTTTAGTCCAAAAAATGTAAAATTAAACTAAGGATAAATTAAAGAATCAACTTTGGTAAATGTTTTGTTATTGTTTTTATTTAGGCCTATGGTAAAATTAAATTCAATGCAATACCATATTTATATCAAACCGAATCATAACATTAATTTTTATTAAAATCTGATAACTTAAGTTAATATAGTCTATCGTAGGTTCTCTGCTGAACTGTAGGCCTACCCATCTACTCTGGGCCTAGACTTAAACTGAATGTTCCCTCAAACTATTGTTTTAGCCTATTTTTATTTATTCATCTTATTGAAACTATGCATCTTAATTTTGTCCATGCATTGTTTAAGTGATATTATGTTTTATGGACAGTAAATTGATTTAAGTTAGGGATTTATTTAAGTGTTATGTGAAACTGCAAATTATTAAGGAATTTAAAACATACCTATTAGGCCTAAGTTAAGTTTAACTCCATGGTATTTTCATGTGTTGAGTTAAGTTAGGATATAAACAGTAGCCAATCAATACATGATTGTTTTCATCGCTTTGATTATGAAAGAACAGTAAAACTTCTAGATGAATTAAACTTAACACAATTGTCTATAGAAGCGTAACCAGTAGTTTAGGAGGACACATGTGATTGTTAGCATCGCTTCACTTATAAAAGTCCATCGAAACTTTTTGACAAATTACCAACTAGGAATGTGCATCAACTGTCAATGTTTTTGGAGAATCGATGTTCGATGTTTTATACATGGATGGTCTCAGATTACCGATGTTTCTGTATCGTCGATGTTTTTGTCCAACATTGATGTTTTTGGCCAAGTAGCTATTGAAATAAATAAATCAATGTTTTCCATGACAGATCGCTATTTTAGCCCCAGTGACATTGATGTTTTCGCGACAATGTTATGGATTACCATCGATGGTAAACATCAATGGTGGACCTATTGATGCTCATGCCTATTACCAACTTGTTAGCCTATTGCAGTTTAAGTTTAGGGAGACACTTGTACAGCTGCATACTAGGACCCAGATAGAATGGGGAGTAAAAAAACATATTTACAATATTAGTTTGCTTAAGTTAGGCCTACCATAAATCACTGCAAGTCCTGTTTCGTGAAGAAAACGAAGCCTTCTGTGCTTGAATAACCATATTGTCAAAACTGTTAATATGAGTAAAAAGGTGTACACTAAAAGGTTTAGACTGTCCAAGCGATGAGTTAATTGAGCTTTGGCATCAAGTTCGATATCAGTAGATGCTGATTGAACATAATTTTCACAACATATCAGAATGAAAATAGATAAAATGAGTGAGTTCACCACGCAGAGCTTCATAACTGTCTGTTATACGATTATATCACTAACTATTGTTATAAAATTAAACGAAAATTACACAACTATCAAGCTGGATGACAACTACCAGGATAACAAACAACAAACAATACAGTAGTTACAGTACAGAAGGTAGAAACTAGAGGAACAAAATTGACGAACGTAAAAAAGGCGTTGGTAAAAGCAGAATCTGAAACAATCTGTTGTGTTCTCGTTCTGTTGTTATTGCGTTGCGTTGCAGAGCAGAAACCGGCTGAGCGGGCAGAGCGGCTTATTGTCAGCTGTTACTAATGCTACATGAAGTACAACATGCGAAGAACTTGCAAAGTCATCACTACACTAGTCCCAACGATCATCTATACAGTAAATAAGTATATTACTCTCTGATACATGTATAAGATTAGAGGACAAGAAAAGGCCATGATATAGTTATAAAATATACTTACCGTGCAAGCCATATAATTTTATCCGCCACTATACCATCGCGTGCGGACGTTTTACCTGGAGCCATGCCATGCCATGCCAAACCAGCCACGTCCGCGGCGGGAGTTTTGAGCTGATTTTCATTTTAATTCGCTTAACATAATAAACAAATCTTACCTATTTAGGATTACATGTAAATTTTCTGTAATTTTTTAAGTAGTAAAAGTGTTTTTGGAAGCAATTAAATGGTTTATTGATTTTGTTAGTACAGTAAAGAGCAAACCATAATTATTTTTTTTATTATTACAACAACAAACAAAAGAAACTTGTAAAATTGTATTTGAAACTGTATTAAACTGCATTGTTTTCAAACTTTAAAATGGCTTGACCATTCGAGCTGAGATGCACCTTTGCGCATGAGCTAGACAAAACTACCGTCAAGGCAGTCTCAAAAAGATCGCTCAGCAAGCGAAGCGGTCGTGGTGGACAACAGCACGTGGTAATACTGTGTGACTTGGCCCATGATAACATGGTGGGTGATATTCAAATTCAAAATTCGCTCCCGCCGTCGTAGCGAGCTCGGAGGACCATTTTTATTGAAAGCCCAGTGATCAAGGATACTTGACTGTTTTTAAGCATATAAAACAATATATTAAGTTATGTGTACAATGAAGTAATGTGACAAACAGTTGCAGGTCTGTGTCCAACAGAGAAGAGTTGTTTTAGTTAGTAGTCTAATATATTCAGGGATATATATTCTGATATAACCGACATACACAGTCTTGTATATTTAGGAACATACCCTTCTTTGTATATTTTTAGTAACCTCCTCCATGTAAAACAAAATATCAACTCTTTTTCTACACAAGCTTCCTGTCATGTACACTTAACCAGAAATAGAAATGATCTGTCCACCCAGGCAAAGTAAAACCTTGAATTGTCATTTGTACCAACAGTTACAGTTATACAATAAGTTACCACTAGAATTAAGAAATCTCAACTATGTCAAATTTAAGTCAGCCATCTCTGTACTCCTTAAAGCAAATGCCTTTTTCTCCACCAAAGATTATTTGAATTGTAAAACTTTTGTTTAATGTTTTCATAATGATGACTGTATTATAGTTTAATGCGTTGAAATTGTACTGGCCTTTCCTATTGCAATGTATATATTGTTTAACGGAATAAAGAATTGTCTATTGTCTATATGGCAAAATAACAAATATAATATAATTGGTTCTATGCTATTTGTTATACATGAACAAACATTACGATAATTTTGCAGCAGCCTTAACCATAAATAATACTGCACATTCAACACACTTTATGTAGTATCCTCTCAAAATGAACTCACTGCAAAACTGCAACCGTACCTCACGAGCCTCCAACGTCACTGATGCCGAGTCTATAAAAGACGTTTCACAACCGAAGCAGCCGCCCGTTGCAGCTCAGCTGTTGTCTGAGAGTGATCTGTGCGCTTGCGGTGTTGTGTTTTAGTCGATTTTCTCGTAGAGCATATCGTTTTCGTGGTATGTTGACACGCGAATTTTCAAACAATAGCCTAAGTGAAACTCCTATCCACAAGAAAATGGATTCAAACAGGTAACTACTATTTTTGACGCTCATTTGTCATCATTCTAGAATACCATGTCCCCAAGGCTAACATACTGATTCACATGGCACACCCTAAAAATTTTGCAATGAAATGTCAGATTGACTAGAAAGATTTATGGCCCAAATCAACGATACTTCATATTTTCATTAAGCTGGAATTAACGTTATATCCCACATGTAACTTAGGCCTAAACTAAGTTACTACAGTACTATAACATTCCAATGGCGAGAAAGCTCACTAAAAAGTCAAACTAATATTATAGCCTAGTCCTAATAGGGTTTTTATGGGTACAGTTTCTTAACTGGACTATTCTAATATCGATTGAAACTACCGATTCGATTAGTAATCCTTCATGCGATTTTTTCATCATCAGCAAGTTTGGTTGGTTAGGTTATGATAGTTTAATTTTATAATAGATAGGCCTATATTTAGAAATATCGATTATTAATCAATATTTTCAATTCGCTAGTTTCAATCGATATTAGCATAGCCCAGTTAAGAAACTGTAGGCCCTACCCGTTTTTATACATTTGTCTGACACACATTTTGAAATTGCTAAGTTATGGTTTAGTAAAATTTCTTCCAACATTGTCCTTAACTTAGTGTTCAGTCAATATCTTTTCAAATAAGTAGGCCTAGGGCCTACTTATTTGAAAGGCCTAATTTTAAACTTAGGTAATAAAAGGCTGCACTTAAGTTTACGTCCTACACTTATTCGAATGAAATAGTGTTATAGAAATATGTTATAATAGATAATTCAATCCTATCGATTATTTCATTCGGTCAGTTAGGTTAGGTTAACCTATTTTAACCAAACTTGATATATTTAATTTATTTCCACGGCAAATAGATATATTTATATATATATAAATATATATTGAATGAAATAATCGATATAGCCTATGGATCGATATATTCATTTGAATGAGTGTAGGACGTAAACTAAAGTGCAGCAAGAGAGGTGTAAAACCATTAAAGCTACAAGTAGCCTACCTACATTTAGATACAAAGAAATTATTGTTTTTTAAGGTCTTGACCAAGTAGGCAAAGTTAACCTTTTAGAAGTGTAGGACCTAGGCCTAAACTCATTTTAGTAATATACAACTTTGGTATTTAGGCAAGGGCTGAAAACGATAAGATTGCAACCTTATTTAACAAATATAATGCTATAAGTAAAACGAACGGTTTAACTTACCAATAACTTATCTCTAAGTTAAACAATAGGCCTATGTTAAAAGTAAATTGTGTCTTACTGTAGGCTAGTTAACTTACTTAAAAAAAATGCACTACGGTTAGTGATGTAAAATACCCGGGTATTTAAAACTCAGGGTAAATACCCTGGATATTTACCCGGGTAAATACCCAAAATCCATAAATACCCGGGTATTTTGGGTATTTATGAAATCGATAGGAATTCATTTATATTCACCCCTAAATATGTTATTGTTATCATTACATGAAAAATTAGGATAGTCTATAACATCTTTTACTGTAACTTGAAGCTTTGCTAGTACCTTTTATCTTGGACTATTAATACAACAACTTTTATTTAATGATTTAGGACTTTTTAAAATAAAACATTAAGTTTTTAAATAAGAATGGGGTTTCGTTTATTATCAAGACAACACCTCATCAGAGAAATAGTGAACCTAAACCTACTTCCACTGTTATTAAATTATGATAGTTAAAATGTTTATCGTATAAATGGCATGGAAGGCTAGACAGACCTAAGGCAGAATGGCAGAATACTAAAAGAAATTAAACTTTTCTATGTTACCGCTTAGTTGGAAACAATAATATATTTGGATAAACCTACTAAAAAAATGTATCTCCTGTTTTTTGGTCTAACTTAATATAATTTTGAAAGATTTATTGTGCTATAGATTTAAATGTTTTGTATCACAAGTTTATGAAATTAGTTTTTTTTATTATTTTGATACCATTGATACCAACAAAAGATCTAGAACAAAAATATTATTTATTTAATACTGCCATCCTACAGATTGAACTTTAATTATTTTCTTAAATTGTTTACACGCCTAGGCCACAACTAGGTTAAATTTTCATGTATTTATAAATAACTAGTGTACATGTTGCTCGAATTCGAGCAATTAGGATTTGCAAACCAATAACAATCATACTAAGCTGTCCACATTTCAACAAAAACACACCTACCTTCCCTGTAGCAGCAAACCTAGGTACTCATATTAAAATTAACTTATTGTTATTTATGTAGGAAACAATGACCATTTTCAGGGAATATGTTTGTAGAAATTAAGCCAGGTAAATGGAAATATTGGTTTGCTGCGGATGCACAGTTTTAACAACAACAGCAATGATTGAAGAATCTGAATTATTACTTATATCCATGAGTTTATCTAGCAATTATTTCCTGTAAAATATTGTTGTAAATGTAAAATAGCAGCTAAAAAATATTGGACAGACTCGGTCAACAAATGACGTAACTGAAAGAATCCCATACTAATGACATTAACATATAGTTTGACAGTAGTTCCATTTAATCAATGTTAAATGTTTACATTCGGGCGAGTGGCATATTTTATTTATGTTTATGATCCATACAGTTCCTGTTCTAATAATCATGCAGTATTTAATATATTTGGACCAGCTGTGTGGAATTTTGAAATCAAAATTAATTTGACAGTTAGTTCTGATTGTTTACATTTTTAAATTTTGTGGGTTTGTTCTTTGTTACCATGGATACCATAAATAAATATTTCACTTTTAATTTCTGACAACAGCTGGAGTTTCATAAAAAATTTTGTTTCCCATGTTAATCTTATGGATAAATACGAATCTTTAAAGGGCCCCAGGGCCTCACTCTCTAATTATTTACCTAAAAAGAAAGTTTCCTGCACAACTTCACGTTACGCTCTTTACAATGACACCAAAAACATGTCAATCGGTTCAGTAGTTCCGGAGGAGTAATTGTCACAAAAATCCTGCTTGCGTATTAAATAAGTATAGATAATTATTACTTTGCAAATTATTTTTCTTCACTTTCAATAAAATAAATTCATCTATCTATCATAGAAATTAAAAAATGATACGAAGTCAAGAGCAGTGCAACCATGCGACCAGGGTATTTATGCCGGTTATGCTTTATGCTCAGACCTGGGTATTTATAGCGATTGTACCCAGAAGTAAAATGCTAGTAGTGACCATATGAAATTTTATTTAACACATTTTATCATCATTTTACTATCCTTACAGGGTTATAATTGCAAAAAAACATCTCAATCTTCTCTAACTTTAATACAAATTATAAATACCCAGTTTTTGGGTATTTACCCTGGCCTGGGGTAAATTCCCGGGTAAATACCCAATTTATATTTACCTACCCACTGGGTATTTACCCGGGGCCCACATCACTAACTACGGTTTTAAAGCCTAAGTTGATCCATTCTTTTAATTTAACACAATCTTTCTAGATAGGTAACTTATCACCAAAAATTCTAAAATATTTGTTGAACACTCAAATAAAACAAAAATTCAACCAAGAAGCCTAAGCAAAACAATCCAAAACTGTCTTTATATGTTTTATCTAATTTTGCATTTACTGCACTTAGGGTACCGGTACGTTACCATACATAATACCAGTTGACAATAATTATTAATACTCCCTTGACTCATTTAAGTTTTTAGTACTTACTTGGATAGGTACTTGTATCCTTAATCCTCGACTGAATATTGTCAGATAGATTGTGTCATGTCATTTAAGAGTTTGATTTATTTTTTTAAATACTATAATAAAAAAGTAGGCTTACCTGTACCAAAACCTAAACTAAATTTGGCAAAAACACAAAGCTGAAAACTGAAAATTCCTATACTTAAATTATACTTTTAAATGTTACTGGATAGGCTTAGAATTTAGAAAACTAAGTTAGTTAACGTAAGTTTCTAAATAACCTGTATGCCAAAAATGTCTGCTTACAAAGATTCATTGCTAACGTGTGATAAAAATTCAAGCCTCTCTTTGATGTTAGATCTAGCCTAAATTATGATTGATCAATATTATTTTTATAGGTAAAGTCTATGTTTTAAAAAGTCTTTGATCCCGTCTATGCTTGATCTTTCTCCCTACTATCAAAAGTATTGTAACTTATTTGATTTAACTTCTAACTTAGTTATAGGTAGCGTTTAAACAGCGTGAAAAAAGAGCTTTTTCAATCAGATTTCTAGAATATCAAGGCCGCCAACCTAAAGTACTTTCAGTTCTTTTACCTGAACACAGAGGGTTGCAAAATGCCATTATTCCCTACACCCGGTGAATAGTTCACTGTAATTTATAAGTACATATGAATTGTGTAAATTTGAGAGGTTTATTTTAGATATCAATTCCAAATTGCTTGGTATAAAACATTCACAGTTAATTGCTTATTTAAATGAAGGAATAGGAAACTCATATCTTCTGTAGTTGAAGTTCCTCTTCTATTTTTTTTTTTTAATTTAACTCTTTCAACTTATTTCCCAAATAGGGAATGAGCTATTACTGTAGGTCTCGTGGTAAGACCTAGACCCGGGACTGATTTTTTTTTTCAAGTACCCAGAAACCATAACGACATCCGTTCTAAGTTCATTTGTTCATATACAATATTTCCTATAACATGTGTCCCTTAGCGTGATAACTCTCAAGTAAAAATCATCCGATATGATGAAATCCGGTACAAATGTGTAAATACATTTATTCAAACGAGTTCTCGAACCAGCATAATCATACTAACTACTATGTGAATTGGGTTTGATTGAGTTAAAATTGGCTTATCCGAATTCTCCGAAAGTATTTTAATTTTCTCTAACACAATTTTGTAGGGATTAACAACAAGTAATTTAGAAGTGTTGTACGCCTATGCCTAATAGTTACAGAGAAAATAAATACTCCTGTCGCAGCAAACTTGCAGACTAAGCGAATTCCCATTTGTCTGATTCCACTTTATCTAAATTAGCTTTATTAAATAACAATAGGTTTTTATGTAGGTTTTCTGCTACAGAAAGTACAATCAAGTGTGTTTTTTTAATAAAACATGAATAAATTAGTTTAAAATAAATAAATTTGCCAAGTTTCAGATCAAAATAGACTTATATAAACAAGAAAGCTACAACAGTTTAACTATTCTCCAAAAAAACAACGATGGAATCATATATATTAAAACGTGACAGGGTTTTTTTATTTCACGATTCTAAATCAACCACTTGGCGGATTTTCATGATTTTTGTGTTGAAAGAAAGGTAATTTTGAGAACTAGGGAATGTCAAAGCCATAATTTTTGTTTACGGTTTCAGTTTTTTAAAAATTAAGATTTAAATTTAAAAAGTCTAGCAGCCAACGCTAACATTCTACTCTAGCTTTTGTTATAATACCATTTGCTTATCGTAACAGCTGTAAACATTCAGCGTTTTCGACACAAATTTAGCATTTGGATGAAAATGAAATGACACACGTAGAATTGACTTATTTATACTATGTGTAATGCTTTAATCATTGATACGTTCATTTATTCGGTAAGAGGATGAGAGTTTATTTAAATATCTAATATATAAAATTCTCGTATCCTAGTAAAATACTAGATGTTCTAATTTATTTTTTTGAGCAGTCTTTAAAATATTTAGTTTGCAATAGAATTTGTTATAACTAACAGCTGGTTGAATAAATTAATATTCTATAGAAATATGAGGTTAGTTTATTTACTCTGTGATTTTGTCATTGATTATAGAAAATAAGTAAGATTCTATAACCATTGCTGTGTACGAATCGAAGCTCACGAATCTTCAAAAGAAAGCTTATGAAAATTATTCTACTACTCGACTTTTTTAGGAAAGGTTGGGAAAATAATGAAAACATGTTTTAGTTCATCTTGGTAGCTTTTTCATTTCTTTACTATAAATATTAAACTGCTTAAACTATGCTTTAATTACTAATAGACACGCTAATACAGTTTTAATGGACTGCTCTATTCCCGTACGTAGGACGGGCCAACAGCTCGTTTTTATTAAACATTTTTTTGTATTGAAATTTTCTCTGTTCTGTTATTAATAACCCCTAAAAACATTTAAATATAGGCCTACCTACTAATGTGTATTCCTAACCTCTTCAAAATGATTTAGGCCTTGGTAGGGAAATCGTGACATTGTACGTTTTGAGGGACGAAAACGAGAACAAAATTGATGGAGATAGGCCTATCACATATTTTTCTATAAAAACAAACGCACCCGCAGGAAAACTCGGTAGTGTCACCGATTGAGGGTTAACAAACATCACTCCTCTTTTGGGACCCTAACACCCTTATCAATTTATATAAAAAGGTAGGCCTATAGTTCAAATTTTAATAAGCATTATTTAGTTTTAAGAGGGCTTTGTGATGAACTATTAACCTTCTATTACTGTACTATCTCTTGGATGAATTAATGAACCTATTTAACCGTAGAATATAGGCTAATTTGTGAATGAAACCAAGAGTTAATTTGGTGATTCTCAGTGTTGGGAAGTAGCGCGCTACTTTTTTTGTAGCGTTAGCTGTAGCTACGCTACTTTTAAGATTTTGTAGCTTTAGCTGTAGCTAGCTACATTTTTAAAGTAGTTGTAGCGGAATTTTAGCTACTTTTCTCGCTACATTAACATTTGTTTGAGATAGTGATTTTTATCATAACCTCAACCTTACGTGAAACAACCTCTTTTTTAGCTGAGATTTTCAAAAAAATTAGGCCTACTTTCTTTGCTTCAAACAGCTGGTTGCAGCCGTTTCATTCCCTATTACAACGTTGTGTGGACATAGAGGCCATTAAATGAGTGTTATCCACATTTTTGGCTCTCATTTCCTTAATTTACTACTCTATGATTACTGTCAGATAAAATAAAATCGCTAGATGCAGACGACGTTCAAACGGTACCGGGGACAAGAGAAGCTATTGAATTGAATGCTTGCAAGTGATTGACAGGACAGGGGAATTAGTAATCAATTTAGTTTCTTTATTATATCGATAATGCTTTAACTTGGGGTTTAATGGAAACCAACACACCTTGAAATAATGAGAAAGCTGGTCTATCAACCTTTGCTTCAGCTGTTGATTGTGGTTTATCATCACAAGCCCTTCCTTGGTTAGATTACGAAGATTTTTCAAAGGTTTACTAAATTAGCAAAGAGGAAATTACCTGATGAGATTTAAGATATGCCTAGACTACATGATAATTGTATTGAAAAAATCTCCATATAACATGAAACTTACATTGAAAAAATAGCATAGTTTGCTCCTGCTAACAGCTCTTGTATAGGACTGAGGCTATGGTTTAAGACGAATACCAAGTTCAATTATTATGAATATATCTGTTTAGTCCTTGCAAGAACAAGCCTACTATAGCCAACTTGTTACATAGCCAAGTAGGCCTACATGTTATTTTTACTTTACAAATTGCATCATGTTTAAATTAAAAACCGATTCCAGGATAAGTTGCTGGATACTGTTTTCTCTACCAACTAGGTTGAAGCACAATTTTCCCTATGCATAATGACAATAATAAAGGACGATTTCTTGACATTGAAAAGTGTTATTCGTAGAATAAGTAATTTATCACTTTAAAATCTATAGCAATGTTGTTTTTAACATTAAAAGTAAAGAAAGGCAATAAACTCCAATTTCAGTAGGCTAGGCTCTGTAACACAAAAAGTATTTTTAAATAATTATTTTGCAGTTTTATTGGTGTTAATTGTTGATACAAAACATCTATAAATGAATCTAAAATAAATTAATAAAATTAGCTTTTAAAATATAGTTTGGTTGTATGTACTTTGAACTTAATGAAAATTACATTTTAAGATGCTTAAAAATAATGCAATATTTAAAAATAATTACTAAATATATTGGGACACCCAACTATTTGGTTCTGTTGTTGTAATGTTAGGTTTACTGTATAATGCCAACAAATTAAATACAATCTAGGAATAATTTGTTTTCCAAGTAATGTTAGATACAATACTGACATTTTTTTAAATGTTTGTTCAATAAAAATGTAGTTGCAATTAATTTTACATTTACCTAATGTGCGTGGAATAAAAATTAACGTCTTTGGAAAAGTAGCTAAAATTGTAGCTGTAGCTACATTTCATTGTAGTTGTGGTTGTAGCTAGCTACTTTTTCGGAACTGTAGCTGTAGCTAAGCTACTTTTTTGGAAATGTAGCAGTAGTTGTAGCTAGCTACATTTTAAAAGTAGCTTCCCCAACACTGGTGATTCTTGTAAAAAGTATTCTAGCTCAATATTTATTTGAAAGCACAAAAAATTGTCAAATAACATTTATAAAAATATATTTACACTTATACTGTTTACTCACAATACGGTAAATAGATATAAAAGATAGTAATTGTGGTGATCGATTTTGATTGGAGTGTCCAATTGAAATCGATCACCACTTACCATCTTTTATATGTATTTACTGTCTTGTGAGTAGGCCTAAATAGTATAGGCTAAGTGTAAATATGTTATTACAAGTGTTATTTGACTTAGGCCTATATCATGTACGATGCTGATGAAGAAGCTATTCAATATTTATTGGTTCAAGTCTAAATTGATCAAATAACTTACTTAACCGTGTATTCTTAGACGCGGACTAATACACTTTGAGGATTCTAACCGAATTGAAAAAAAATATCAAGGCATAGAATTAGTTTCAAGGAGTCCATGTAGAATTTAAATTTTTTTGTAAATTAACATTTTGCCTCCTGTCAATCAATTGCATTTTATTGACATTTTTTCAAGCAATTGTGATGGTTTGTTACAGAAATCATCTCCGCAGAATTGCCAGTCACAAAGACACTGAGTTCTCCAACCAAAGCGTCATGAAGGCGATAGAAACATTTGTCGAGGCCGTGCAAGAAATGGACCAAACCATTCTGGTGCCTTCTCGTCTGATGGACATGCAGGTCGGAGACGGAAGCGACGTTTGCAAACTTCAGGTGGCTCGGAGAAGCGACTGTGAGCCCGTCGACAAGACAAATCTGCACAGCCTGTACAACTTGGTCAACTGTGTGAAGAAAGAGCTGCTGTGGAGTTCTACGGAGTCGCGGCAAGACGAGGAGGCCAGAGAGGCTCTGAGAGTGCAGCCGTACACGGTGACTCCCTCACACAAGGGTCACATTCGCCGGCCGTCCACTGCTAGCATGGCCTCCACCAACTCTACAGCCTCCACACTGAGCGACACCGACTCTGAGGCCGGTCTGGAGAACGACTCCGGAGTGGAAGGCGAGACGGAGTCCACCAAACCAACCTACACCCAGACGGTCGAGGACAGCTTCAGACGACACCTTTACGGACTGCAGCGTTGTCTAGAACAGATGACCGAGGCCGCAGGCTACCTGACGAAGCGGTACCAGAATGAGCTCGATGGCACGGTTTGATAGTGTTTTGTGATGTGACTATATTTATGGGTTGCGCTGCTGAAGGGAAATAGAGGTTGCCAGTCTGCGATTGCTCATCAAAATGTAGCCGAATGGTGTTCTCGACCCCTTCGAGTTAATCATGAATGATTTTGTTTGGTAGCGCGGTTGAAAATGCAGTTGTTATGCTGAAAAGTAAGTAAGAAACGTATGTTGGATTGTGTGCCTTGTTAAAAGTTGACCAAACTGTTTAGTTTTTACTTTTAACATTGCACACTTAACTAGGTATTTTTAAAATTCTTCAATATAACTTGGACACAAAACTTTATTTTCAAACCGTCTAAGGAATTTCACTTGTTTTTTTACCCTAGACAATTTTATTTGCAATGCTCAGTGCAATGTTATTGCTGCTGTTGAACAAGTATTGTTGATAGTTAAAATTTAAAGTTTAAATCAATAGTTATTTCAGTGTTAAAGATAGGTTGTTTTACGATCCTCTTGGGATGTATGAATGGTAGTACTACTTATTTTTCAGCACTTATTTGTAATGAGTACTGTAGATTACTTTTAATGTGATACCTCTACATTTTGTAGAACAATCTATTTATTTTTCTTGAACTCAAAGAGTTAGTTTGTGAGCAAGAAAATACTGTTGTAATACTTAAATTATTACTTAGTTTAGGGAGACATACACTCAGAAGTCTTTTTAGACCCACAGACCTAAGGTCTAGCAACATTTCTGTCATTTTATTTTCAGCTTATACAAGTCCTAGTCATAGATTACATTTCAGTTTTATACTGTTCTTTTATACAGACAATTTTTATGAATTAGTTAAGCAACTTAATTTATTTATATAAAAGATGTCAAAAGTATATTATAAACCAGACATGTATCAAGGTACAAATTTTAAAATTTTCAAACCGATGTGTGATAGAAAAATTACCTTAAATTTTTGTAATAAAGAGAATTGTAAATACAATACTGTATATATTATTTTATATTATAGTAATTAATTTAAAGAAAAAAATCAAAAACGACAAAAATATACCAGCAGGTTACTCCAGAGTTTTTGAGACAAATGTTTAAACATTCCGGATTTTTCCTACTTTAAGTTCCTTTTAACTTATTTTGATTTTATTTTTGTGTTTTTAATATTTGTCAATTTTTATGCTATGATTCAGTAGAATATTTGAGCAGTTTTGTTTTTACAGAAAGTGTTAGGCTAAGTAATTAGGCCTAATTATAAAATGATCATATAAATCAATGTGCCAAAATACCAAATTTTCATTGGAAATTTTTGAAACGTATTATTTCAAAGAAATAAATACACTATTCCATCTGCTATATAAAATTTATTTTACTGTAATTTTTGACGTTAAGCCATAGGTATCCTAAAAACTGTTTATTCAAGGGTCAAGTGTTATGTTGAAGGTTTTAATTTAATGTGATTTATTACATTATGTCTTTCCTTGGTGCAATGTGTTCTCAAACAGCTGGCTATTTTAAAATCGAGTTTAAGCATAGCCTCCTCTAATACAGGGCCGCGGCCATGGTAATAAAATAAATGACACAAGTGTAAACATAAACATTGCCCATATGTTTCATAATAAAGTAATGCAACAGCTGTTTTGGTTTGACGGGACAATGCTGTTGCCACTTTTGTCTCGCCACGACCTTGTATTAGAGGAGATTATGGTTTAAGTAATGAACTGTGATATGTTGGGACTTGGATTAGACTAATTTTCTAAAGTGTAAACTTACCACTTATAAAGAGGCTTGGAGTACCAAGATGCTATAAAATGTTGTTGGGTTTTCTGAAGTATATTTTATCGTAATATTTTGTTTAATGTGACATTATATCTCATTTTATGTGGTTTTGTTACATGTCATTTGTGGTCAGATTAATTTAACATTTTTCATCTCATTTGATCTGAGTTTCTAGTATTACACGTTTTAAACAAGATTACTTATAAAATCTGAAAAATTATAAACCAGTTTTATTGTACATAAAATTTGTTTCTTGTATAACTTGTCTGATATTGTAATACATCTGTGGCATGAAGAAGAGATAAATAAAAATATTATATATCAAATATATCAGGAATTATTATTTTTCTTGGTTTTAAGTTTCCTTTTTTTACTTGGAGGTTAGGGCCTATCACTCTCAAGAATGGTTTCTACAATTATGCTTACTTAACCTTTAGTTTTAAAAAATTAGTTAAACATTGCAATTTCTGTGAAGATAAATGCAATTCACTAACTTTTTTAGAAAAGCAAAATGAACTTCCTTTACGTTCAGTTTGCTTAAGAGAACCAAGTACTATAAATGTATGATTGTTTATGAGTGTTAACGGTTATTTTGTAGAGAATACATGGGTTTAAACCAACTTCATTCAATGACAATAAATGCTACCGATTAAGCCCATGAGCTTTTGGACTAGGCATTTGGCGATAGTGCACACTATGGTCAACGTCCTTTGGCCAAGATCAATACTTCATGCAAGGAACACATTTACCTGAGGTTGAGCCAACAATCAGGAAAATTATTTTCAATTATTACAGTTACAATTTTTATAACTGTCCCATACCGTTTACATTTTTCACTAGCCTTGAAAATTTTCAACTTATTTCTACCTTTAAAAACCAGAATAAGTAACAAGTTAAGGATTTTATTTGACCATCAATGAAGCTAATGTTTGCAACCCCAACGATCACAACCAAAAATTGAACCATGGTTACAGGCACAAGACAAAAAGCCAAATATTATAAGTGTAAAAAACAGTATAAAAGTGTACTGTTTTCATTAATCTCAAGAGTCATTTGGAATATTGTTCTTGGGTCAAAAGTAGTGAAAAGTTAATTAGGGACAAATTATGAGATCTTAGTCGTGTTTCTTAAAGAAATTCTGAGATCAAAGTTTTATTTGGTAAATAATTACGAATCTTTGACACTATAAACTTGAGTCAACTAGTGTTGTTGGGGTTGCTATAATGTTCTGCCATAATAAGACTAAGAGGTCATTGAACTCATTTGTTGATGATTATTTTTGAGCATATTTATAAAGGGATTCTGCACATCTACAGGAAAATATCTTTCTAACATTAGCCTATGTGTAGTTTTTCTCTGCGATGCACACAAGCTGAGATAAAAGGTTTTCAATAAACATGCTTGGCTAATATATAGGATAATAAGTATAAAGCACGATTTTAAATGTGGTTCGAAACAGGACCTAGATGTCCTTGATGAGACTGTGGTATCAGCATAGACCAATTTAAGGGACAAACTCATTCATTCTAATTACAATTACAATTAATAAGTCAGTTCTCAATTTTTACCACTATGCTACAGAACCTACACTACTGTAAGCTACTAGTAATTTGATTAGAGGTGTGGTCTGTGTTAATTTGATGTACACCAAAGACAGTGTAACAAAGTTTTTACTTTTAGTCAACGACGTAATTAGTGAATTCATATTCAAAAGCCAGAGGCACAAAGAGAACAAAGGAATTTAACTGTTTCGCGCCAAGGTCGCTGTAGAAAAACGCCACCTTCGTATTTTCCAGAAGGACCTACAAGGTCGTCCACTGATCCTGGCAGAAGGCGCAGTCAGGTTACATTATACAGTAATTGCAAGCCAAAGCGCCGATATTTAGAAGGCAGGCTAGCAGGCAATTTAAAAATCGTCAAACCCCAACGGATTGACATATAATTTCTTATCTCGGCACCTTTTCCACCACAACAATGACTGTGCGGAAGCATTCCATTATTACCCGGATCGGTGACAAGGAGTTTTGGCGTCAAAATATTATTTGTACACATGCTTTAGAATAATTTAGAGTACCCTAGTAGCACAAATAAATATTAAATACATATGAATAAATATATTTAAAATCTATTTTATATATCTCAAGTGTGTATTAATGTCAATTTTATATAATATTTAAAATATATTAAATATATAAAAAATATGTTTTTGAATCTATTAAATATTAAAAAAATATGTTCCAACAATATATTTTAGTAAATAATATTTAAATAAAAAATGTATTTAATATCTCTTCCAAACATCCCATGGGGCCTAAACATAAAAACCTAAAATAATGAAGATTTAGTATGAAAAGCACAACTATCAGTTGAGTAAATTGATTAAATAGTTCATATTAACAAATTTTGAAAAAATTACTGGATAAAATTTTTTTAGCCCGGGTCGGTTTCGAACCTGGGTTCTTCGACTTATGAGCCTCTTACCTTACCTCTGAGCTACTTGTGACTGTTGTTAACTTTAGTTTTCAAATGGTGAAAGAGTGGCCGTCAGTTGCAATGGTTGCAATACTTGAAAAATTTTTGATACTACAGTATAATATGATTCTGTTAATCTGTTTTTCCGTAATTCGTTTCTTAAAAGGTCGCCAGTCACTAGCACCCTTTTCTAGCCCATCATTCGAGATTTCTATGATCACATTCATTGTCACATATTGCAATTTAAAAAATAAAACCCATCAACACTATTTTTTCGTTTGGCCCAAATGTAGGCTGTCGAACATGTATACTAACTTAACTATATAAGTATTTTTTTCTTTACCTGCATGATAGAGTGACACCATTCAGAGTACGAATTATTATTAACTTAATTTTAAGACTTTCACAACAGCAATTATCATACAAAAAATGCATGTATAAATTGATAGACACTATAAAAAACAAAAAGATGCAAATTATTTATTTGCCAATTATAATAGATTACATTTATTCTACAAATTATTATTTTATTAATAAAAATATCTGACGTGTTTCAAAATATATTTATAAATACTTTAAATATATAATATAGTTTCAAAAATATGTTATATATATATTTAAAATATTCTCAACACATAATTTTTAAAAATATTTAATAGGAAAAATATACATATAAAATATGTATATTATAGATTCTATACTTATTTGATCAATATATATTATGAATCTATTTTATATATTCAAAAATTATATTTAATTTATATTTTGCATTGCTTTTTGGTAATATTTTAAATATATATTTGAATATATCAAACTATTATTAAAGATATATTATTTATATATTTTATTCGAGGTTCTATCAAATACAACTTTAAATATATAAAATATTTATAAAATACATATTTGTGCTACTAGGGTACAGTAAACTCGTGTCTTTGTAATATTTATGGAATTTTTGTGAAGTGTCAAGTCTCACGTAGTTAGGTTGAAGATCATTGGTGTTGATCCCCTAAGGCGATAGTGGATTGAGGATTAAATGGATTAGACTGTTGAATACCCTTGTGACACTTAAGTTGAAATCGTCTGATTTGAAGCACGTTTAGATGGTTCCATAATAGTTGGGACACTCCTAATGAAATTAAAACTGAAGTATCATTGCGTCTTCCACTAGCGTTAAAATTTCAAAATTGTATCACATCTCTTGTTTCCTTCTAATAAAATGAGTTAAATTAATTAATTATACCTATCAGATGTATTTACACTGAGTCGGTAAAATATGCAGTATAAAATTATGAAAATTTACAACGAAGCCTTATGGTGTAGTAATTGACGTTTACAGATACATCAAACTAATTTAAATAAGTAAGCTGTGTATAAACCAACTACACAAACTTGTTTGCTAATTTGGCCAACTAACTTTTTCATGTTGACTAAAAATTCTCAGGTTTCTCACTGAACGGAGTAAGTTATAAAAAGCTAACAGAAATACATTAGGCAACCAAACACCAAATCATATGAAAAGTAGCATGTATAACAACTGGCTTTTTCCAAATAAGTAGTCTTGTCATTCTTAAAGTACATAAAAGTTAGATAACATTCTCGTAAGGAATTTGTGGAATAAAGATGATAATTTCTACTAAGTCAAGTACTAGAATTTCAAGGGAAGACTAGCCTTCTTGAATCTCGTTCTTTAAGGGAATGGTTTACTGACAAACATATTTATACAACACATGGAAATGTTTACGATAATCTCGTTTATCTTTTCATTTCATTATTCTAAAACATTGACATGAGGATAGTTTAATGTTCAAGTCATCTTGTTAAAAGCTGCTACTCCTTCCATCGAAATCAAGTTTTCCCACACCTCTTTTGAGTACAGCTTCTTCAATCTTCGTCCTCACGGCCATTTTAGGTCGCTCTCGTTGAGTTTGAAATAAGAAAAACTCCCAACAAAGTTAAGTAGGAAAATGTTAATTTAGCATCGCAATAAAACCAGTTTGAGGTGGAGCATAGTATAGCAAGTGTCCACATTCCAGTGCCAAGGGCCACAGTAGGCAGGAACAATCATCTGGAAATCAGCTGATCATCACGTGACCACGGCGGGAACAAATGACCTTGAACCCGCGGGAATGTTGTTCTAGCATAACCCACTTGACTTGCTCCCGGCCCCTGTCTTCATTTGCTCATATCTTCAAACCTAAGTCCCTCTCATGATAAGCTAAATGTCACCTTTTAATTCTCTGATAAGACCTGGCAAGGTGTTGGTGGCGTGATAAATGAATGCACTTGTAGCCCATATAACCACACGTGATCGTCAGCATATTTTTCACTTGATCAAATGATTTGATGTGTTTGAGAAGTTTTTTTTTTAATCAACGAATTCAGAATGTATCTATACCATACCCTAAACCACTGATCTCTTTCGAAGTCAGTTCAAAAATTTGACAAATTTAGTACAAACCAAAACAAGCCAATTGATCAAATTTGGCAAATTTATATATTTTTCATCCTATATTATTTGGACAAAAACACTTTTACCTTCCCCGTAGCAGCAAACCTAAGAGCTCGTAAAATACAATCGATACCGGTATATTAATAGGCAAGCATGTGTCTTTAAAACCTTTTTTCAGGTCGTGTGCATCGCAGGGAAAATCTATGCATATTGTGAGAAAGATATTTTCCTGCAGATGTGCAGAATCCCTTTACAAATTAAAATAAGCTCAAAAATAAGCACAACAAATGAATTCAAAATTTAAAAGAATTAACATAGGCCTTATGGGTTGCTATGGTGCAATGGTGGTGACGAAATAACAACGAAATATAAACAGATATTAAAACAAATAGAAAAAAGTTCCA